GATTCTTCCCTAGAAGGTGGAGAGCTGTGGAGACTCTTCCCTGGATTCTGATATGTTTATGGGGAAAATAAATATGAAGCTACTTACCAGCTTTGCATTTTCCTAGATTTTAATGCAATAGGAGTAATGTCACTGGGAGAAATTAAAATATAAGTAACATTAAAATTCTGATCATATTCTTACATCCATAATAAATTTGCATATATTATAATTTTTAAACTCCAAAATCTATCTAAATTTATTCTGTTTGGCATTCTTAGTGAAATCTCTTGGCATTCTTGTATCTCATGCAAAAAACCCCAGAAAGAGATAGTGGGACTACTTATAAGTGAATACGAATGTTGGGGATGTGAGTGACATTTGTATCTCTTCACAATCCCTTCCAGTCATGTTTTTTACTCTAACCAAGCTACTGAAGACAATCCAAGTTAGAGCTCTGGTTTTTGTGTAGAGGACAGATTTCCTTGATCAGTAACAGTCTCCTCCGTTCTTTCATCCAGAATCTGGCCCATTTCCAGTGCTACCAGTCTGGGTTTCCAAAGTTATTTAACATTCCTGTAATTCAGATACAGCAGTTACCTAATTTAGACAACAGCAATGTGAATTTCTTTTCCTCTGCCTTTGATTTTGATGAAGGAATGAAACAAGAAAGTATAATTCCAGTATTGCTAATTAATTTTTTTCAGCTGTGTGAACTTGGGTTAGAGATAAATGAGAGTAACTATATTTAAGCTCAGTGGAATTCCTCATCATTAGTTCTTATCTTTCACTTTTAACTATATAATTCTGTCTTATTTTAATGCAGGTACAGCCTGACTATTTGGACTGGAAAAAATGATAACTATTCCATTGAAGATTTACTTTGTATAAGAGACCATTTTGACAAAAAACAAGTTTTCTATGACATCTTGGAACCACAAAACCATGAATTTAAACAGGCCATTGGAATCAATGTTGATCTCTAAAAAGAAGATTCTTCTAAGTTATTTCACATTGTGATTTCATAATCCTTATCTGCTTTGGTCTGAATTAATTACCATATAAATTATAATGATTGATTTATGCTCCAATTCATCCCATCAAAAAATACTGAGTGCTTACTCTATCAGGCATATGTCCTTAAAACATTGTACTTACCTGAAAGATTTGGAAAGAAGTGACTTAAGTAGGGCTAGTGTAGTAATAATTTAGGAAAATGATACTTGAAGACCCTTCATAAAAAAGAATTTTGACCAGCCTTACTGGCCATAGATTTTGGGAAATATTTAAACTTACTGAGTCTTGGTTTCCTTGTTTCTAAAATGGGGAACAAAGTAATTGAGAGAATTCATGTGTCATAACATAGGTATAGGTCACATTTGTTCACAATTGCTTTGCAGAGATTCCACAAAAATATGGCATCTTCTTTCCTTTTTCTTGGAGAACTGGTTATTTCAGAGACTACAAAAGAATAAGAGGGCTTTTTTAATATTTTAACTTTCACAGGGGTGGGGAACTTTCTCATAACAAAATCATATCCATTTACTGATAATAGTATAGATTAAATTAGATGGATCTAGAATTTCCATATTGTTGGGGCCTGCTGACAGCTATGTATTTTTGTTTTGTTTTTTGTTTTTGTATTCATTTGGATCATAGTGTCTTATAATATCTTACCTGACAGTAACTATTGGCGAGCATAATTTTAGTTCTAGTAATGCATCATTTGATTTGCAAGTTTCTTCCAGAACCACCTTCGTTCAGGCCCTCGTTCTACTACTAGAATTTCAAGGACTAGTTCTTCATGACTTCATTGCTCATACTCTCTTTATAGATACCCTGAGTATTTTTGCTAAAGAAAACCTTTAAACACACCCTTCTTTATGCTAATCAAGAACTTGCAGGGGCTTCTTAAATTCAACTTTCTTGAATTTTACTCTTTCAAGAGCCTTCATACTGTCACCCCACTCTAAAAGTCAACTCATTGTTGTAGGACACTGAGTTGACTTAGAGTCCTTCATCTAAAAATTCCCACAACATCATTTGTCTCTAGATCTTACTTTGACACTTACTTTTAACTATTTAATATATTTCACTAAATATGTTACACATGTTACTCATGTCTCCTCAGCTAGATTATGATGTCCTTCATGCTAAGGGAGAATTCTTTTTTTTAAATTGAAGTATAGTTGATATACAATATTGTATTGGTTTCAAGTATAGAAAACAGTGATTCAACAGTTACATTATTAAATCCTTACCTCAATTACTGCAGTTACTATCTGTCAACATAGAAAGATGTTAGAGAACCAAAGGGAGCATTCTTTTTTTTTTTTGAGAGGGCATCTCTTATATTTATTGATCAAATGGTTGTTAACAACAATAAATTCTGTATAGGGGGGTCAGTGCTCAATGCACAATCATTAATCCATCTCAAGCCTAATTCTCATTAATCTCCAATCTTCTGAAGCATAACGAACAAGTTCTTACATGGTGAACAGTACAAGGGCAGTCATCACAGAAACTTTCGGTTTTGATCACGCATTATGAACTATAAACAATCAGGTCAAATATGAATATTCGTTTGATTTTTATACTTGATTTATATGTGGATCCCACATTTCTCCCTTTATTATTATTTTTATTTTTAATAAAATGCTGAAG